ACATCAGTTTAGTATTGCTCCAAGACACAGTGATATGGCTATGCTAAATATGATGGATATGTTTCCCAGTAGCATACCTTTCCTCAAAAGCTGCAAGCAGGCGAGCATCTAGAATGTTTTCTTCAGGCTCCCAAGTGCTGTACCTAAAAAATGGGAGGGGGGGAGAACAAAGCTGTATAATTTTATTCGTGTTTTCCTATTTTTCCAGAACATGGTGACGGCAAGATACCTTAAAAGATCATCTAGTCCATCCCTCTACCCAGGAAAGCACGATGCCCAATTATACTGTAAAATAAAACAAGACCACAATATTTACTGGACTGCAAGGGTAGTATTGACAGTTACTTACTTCTGGGACCAGCCCTTCCATTTCACGAGATATTCCATGCGACCCTGCAGAGGCCAAGAAAAGAGAAGTAAGCATGCTTTTTTTTGGGGGGGGGATGCGGGCAAACAATGATTGGCCTGCTACAACATGCATTCAATCAAAACAAAGGTGTATCCAAAGCCATGAGTCAAAATTATGCCGCACAAATGCATATGTAAGGTGCCAGGGAAGAGAAGAATAATCCGCGCATGAAAAAGGGGGGCGGTGCTGCAAGATATGCTAAAATGTGCATGCAGAGGGAGGAAAAAGGCATGCAGTGAAATATGCACGCCGCCCAACAGTGCATGCATATTTTAAAAAGCAAGCAGCAGCCTTCGATGGTGGCGATCTGCGCAGCGCAAGAGAAAGGGGGAGCGGCTGGCGGCGACGAAGGGCTGCTGCAGAAAGGGGGGAGCCAGGCAGGAGCCGAGCACCAGCGAAGCGCCGCTCGCTCGCTGGCTCGCTGGCTCGTCGCCGGGCCTGGCGCGGGCCTGGCGGGTCGGGTGGCCAGCACACAAAGCCGAGGCTGCGCTGCCAGGCGAGCGGAGGCACCTACTTTGCGGATGCGTCTCTTAAGCAAGGCCTCGGCCGCGAACACCCTCTCTCCCACGGCGGAGAGCTCCATGTTTACTCGGCCGCTGGCAGCAGAGAAGCGGCGGCGGCGGCGGCGGCGGCCAACGCAGCCCAGACCATAATACTCCGCTCGCTGACGTCAGCGCTCGCTCGCTCTCTCGCCCGCCCTCCCCCTCTCTCCTCTCCGCTCGCTCGCTTCGCCTGCCTCCGCACTTGTTGCTGGCCCAGCCGGCCTGCTCGCGGGCTCCCGCGGAGGGGCAGGGAGCGAGCAGGGAGGCAGGCCGCGGCAGTCTGCCGAGGCTCGGGGTCTGGCTGGGCCCGGCTCTTCCCCAGCCGTCCTCTCCAGCTGCACCCGCCTCCTCGCGACGTGATCCGCGTTTCAATCACAACCAGGGGGGGGGGGGAGAGGAGATCCTCAGCTGTCTGGTTGTGCAAGGGGAGGGTGGAGGGGAGGGCGCAAATCTAGGCAACCCTCTCTCCCCAGGCAGCTCTCCCCCCCTTCCTCCCTTGCCCCTCTCCAATCCGCCGCCACCAGTCCCTCGCCCCCGCCCCCTTCCAATCTGCACTGAAGAAATAAAATTAAAATAAAGAAGGCGATGGCATTTCCAGAAGCCGGCGGTGCCTGATGCTGTCCGCCCCATCACCCCCGAAATTCTAGTTCCTGGCTCCAGCAGAGTAAACAACGTGTCTCCCCCACACACGAGCTCCTCCCGAAACCATGCGCGGGGGGAGGGGGGTGGATGTGTCCCACTCGACGAAGGCGGTCTCCAAGCTGTCTTGGGGCCATCACGGCCGGGATTCTGGAAGGATTTGGAACCATCCAGGACTGCGTTGGTTCCCAAGCCGAGCAGGGTTTCTTGCGAGCTCGCGTGCATGCAGCAAGACGGCCCTCCCCGGAGCACGCACCCCTCCCCACCCTGGCCCGTAGGTAGTGCATTTTCACAGCGAGAGGAGGCGGGGCCAGCGTGGGCTCTGCACCACCACCACCCCGGAGCTCCTGCACGCTGGCTTCAGGCGCCCAGCTCCAGCAGACGTTGCATTTCCCGAAAAGCTGCAGCGACGCTTATGCAGGGAAACGGGTGTTTTAAAGCACGCGCACACAATGGGCTGGAAAAGTCTCCGTCAGTCCGGATCTCAGCGGCTCTGGAGAAAGGAGTCCCCCCCCCCCCGATCCAAATGCAGCCGGACCTTTGAAGACAGCGCTGGGTCTGCGCAGATGCTTAGGGAAGGGTCGCGTTGTAGCCTCGGCTTTTGGGGTATGTCGATGAACCGGGCAGCCTGTGCCTTTCCCCGCCTAGCAAACAGCGAGTCCTGCAAGAAAAGTTAACGCGTAGCACTCTTTGGGTTTTATTACAACTCATTGAGCGAAACTCGGTGAACTCTGACTTCGGCATATTTTCTGCATGAGACACGCGCGTACACACACACACGCACACCCAGAGTACATTTATTATGAATGACTATATGGTCACTCATTACAAACGTTCAGTTTCTGTTACTTATTACCGATCTATATTGGCCTTTCTGTTCTGTGAGTAGAAAGATATCTGAACAATAATAAAAGTACCAGTGAGATCCTAGCCTTGAAGTCCCGCGACGTAGGAGTGACTTCCGTGGCCATCAAAGATTAAACATGAGTGCCGGCGGGATCCGAGTTGGTGTGGGCTCCGAGCCGAGATTCCAAGAACGCTTCGCTGGAGGCAGGCTCCTTTGAACTCATTGGGCACGGCGGGAGGAGGAGTGTTTTGAACTCAGCCACGAGACATGGGAATGCTAGACGTGGTGAAAGGCTGTATTATTGATTGTGATGATCCCCGACCTATCCACAACACGCTAAAGCACAAGTATTTTAGCCACAAAAACAGTAATTTCTGACCGAGAAAAATGTCTCTTCCTAGAAAGACAGACAAGCCGACAGTCTGATCGACCGACTTTCATTGAAGTCTGACTTACCTTAAGTCTTCCTGTTGACTGGTGATTGTCCTGTTGTAATCAGTTGTAATAAAGAGCGATACATTCATCAGTAGACTAGCTAGTCAAAAGTTTTACTAAAACATTCATAGATGTTTCAAAGTATACTTAGCAGACAGACCCACCCACCAGAGAGTCCTGTTAAGGGGTAATAAGACGTATGAGACTGTACTACAGTCACTGTAGACATTGAGGGGGGGGGGGTGTTTCTATAGATTACGTGGGATATCACCTCGCCGGACAAAAGCTGCCAATGATTTCTTCCCTTTCAGGAGCTACTTCGTCCTGTACTACAAAGTCTTTCTCCGCAAGCAACAGAGACCAGTGCCAGCAATACAGCTGTTTCTGCTTAAGTTTAAATACTTTCCAACAGTTTGGGTAGTGAAAATAAAGTCGACCTCAAGAGCCTATAATAGAGGCTCCGGTTTCCTAGCTCCAAGTACCTCTGGGCTTAACTTTTCGCAAGTTTGGTCAAGAAGGGGAAGGTGGGGCTTGCCCTATTCCCAGGACTTCCAGTGACTCTGGGATCCAGTAATCTAGCAAGGCGATCTGTAAACAAAGTGACCCTCCGCCTGTGGCGGTCTGTGCGTGGGTGTGAAGGCACCAGCAGCCAAGACCTTTTCCTATAGTGAGACACGTGCCCCACCGCGCGTTTTGGTCCCAGGTTACTGCATCCTCTGGCATGTTCTCTCTGACTCCCCCACCCACCCCTTTAAATCACCGATGGCTGTTTAAGAGTTTAGCTATTTGCTTTAAGGTAGTATTTCTCTATTTCATCCCTCAGTGACTTTACTGCCTCTTTACTCCAGTTAACTATGTTTACTTTTTAGACGCTGAAAGGACTCCGAGGTTCAGGCTCCGTGGGAAGAGGGGACCGGGAGAGAAAGAAACCTTTTTCTGATTCACGAATTTAAGCACACGCGCGCGCGCACTGTCAGTCCGGCAAAATCCGGACATAAAGTCTGGCGTCGAAATGAAACTTGGAATTAATTTGGAGTGATTCACAGCAGCATTGCAGTTAGTTTCTGCAGTCAGGATCAAGGGCAGGTTAAAATAATGAAGTCAGATACACACAGTGCTGGGTTTGAATGTAATGCCGACAGCGGCAGCAAATGGAAGAAACGGCGCGACCACCTGCTAGGTGCCACAGTAGCGTTGGTGGGAGGGGTATATCCCTTGAGCTCAGATGGGAAAGGTGCTGCGGAAAGCCATTTCTTTCCCGCATCCTAAAATGTCCGTAGTGCAGCCCCAGAGAAGAAATCCCTGGGAATCTGAGCAGTTCCTGCCTGAATGGCCAGCAACTAGGAGGAGGGTGTGAGTGCAGTAAGTAAATAAGTAAATAAATCTTAAAGAGGTAGCTTCTGGCCCTCGAAAGCTGATGCTGGGCTACACTTTTGCTTTTAAGCTGCCACAGACTCCTGTTTATTTGTTCAGTAGGTGCAAAGACCAATAATATTCAAAGTGCCCCCAAACAATCCGGGGACGCGGTTGGCTTTCTGTATTTTTCCTTACCTGTAAAGAAACATGACTGTTAAGATCGGAGATCAGATCTCCAGTACAAAACCTGAACTTTTTCTCCGGAGCTTTGCCTCTCATACGACTCTACTCTCCCTCCCCTTTCTCTGCCTCTTGTGGAATTTCGAAGCGATTCCATGTGCTTGCCCTCAGATTCTATAGCACGCCTTCCCCCGGCCCGCCCCGGACAAGAGTCTAGAACGCACTGTAACCTGGCTGGTCAGTTTCCAGTCGCTTTAAGACAGAAGGGTGACCAGAACTGCAGTACATCAATGTAACTGCGCCTCCGCTTGGATAAATAAGGTAAACGCATTCTCTTCCACCTAGGTTGTCTCCATCTGGCTGCAATTTTGACTGTCTCGGAGTGAGTGCGCGCGCCTGTGCGAAAGTGGAAATAAAACGGGCGAGTATTGCCGTTTTATGAAGAAAAAATGCCAGCAGTTCCATTTAAGATCGTTAGCGGCGTGATAAATGAGCTTTCTCGCTGGCTCTCCTTCCCTCTGACTCTTTGTGTGCGTGTGTTTATTTAATGAAATACGGGCTGCGAAACACCTGTTTCTTACCAGGGCTTAGGTTTCTCTTTCTCTCTATCTCTAGTCTCTTTGAGTTTGGAGGTGAAATCAATGATTAGAAAGACTCCTTTCTGGGAGCTCTGAGCGATGGAACTTCACAGAGGAAGGAGGCATGGCCGCCATAGCATGCCTATGCTATGCTCATTAAATTGGGGAGGGGAGGTAATTGCCTAGGGATGCCCCAGTCGGGCCAGATCCTATAGAAGGACTAAAGAAAAGAAACGGCCTTGATTCTTCTTGATTCCAGCCAAGAGCGCACCCCTGCGCCTGGCGGCGTCGCGATCTAACATAGCTGCAATACCAAGGAGAGCCCTGCAAGAGGCGGGAGGGTCTCGTGTGAAGCGAGGCTGGGGAGAGGGGGCGGGGCGGAGCGTCAGCCTTCCGGAGCGGGCTCGCGGTCCTGGCCGGCTTTTGTGCTTTTATTTATTTAGTGACAGGCGCGCTCGGCTGTGCCTGTTCTCTGCGCCTGCGCCTACAGAGCGGATGGAGGGACTGCGCACCAGCTCGCCGTCATGTTCCTGGTCCCGATTAGTCTGTGGCCCTGGCTGACCAGGCTGCAGGATGCTTTTCTGTGCCGGGCTGCCTGGGGACAGAGAGTCGGCGTGAACTGCTGTTTCCGCGGGGTCCAGCTGAGCGCCACTAATCCGCAGCATAAAACAATTTCTTTCTTTTAAGCGAAATGATGCCTTTTAAAACACAACCCCTCCATCTGCTGCTATGAAACTCACGACTCACCCAATATTTTTAATCAGGCTGATGCAGAGTACTGTGTAGGCCGAAAATGTACTCACAAGGCAGCAATAAAAATTGGTTTAAGACAAAACACAGCGCTTCATTTGAATTTATGATCCGGGGGAGTTAAACCCTCAGCATGCTACCTGGCTGCTTGCTTCGAGGTCTTACTGGACAGATTGAACCAGGAAGACGCTGGTGGCGGCGAGAGATTCGGCCATGAGAGCCAGACTCCTCGTTGAGGCAGGGTCTGGGACACCTGCGTTCTTTCTAGACTCAGGACTGGGTCGTTCCCATGTTCTTGACCCGCGATCCCTCATTATGCCAGCAAAGTCGTTTGGAATTGCACCAAAATTCCGTGGGGGTAAGGTTCTGAAACTGATGTCCGTTTTCCCGCCCGTCGATGAGTCCGAGGGCTGCAAGTCTCGAAAAGACGCCTACACAAACCATTGGGTGGTGGGGCACCTGTCTGAACAGGGTCGAACTTCCATGGCTGAGCGCAACTGTGCT